AAGTTTTGATATGTTGTGTTTCCATTTTGTTTGTCTCAGATATTTTCCAGTTTTCTTTTGATTTCTCGATATAACCATTGGCTGTCCAGGAGTATGTTGTTTGATTTCCATATACTTATAAATCTTGTAATTTTCCTTCTGCTATTGATTTCTTTTTTTTTCTTTTTTTTGAGACGGAGTCTTACTCTGTCGCCAGGCTGGAGTGCACTGGCGCAATCTTCCCTCACTGCAACCTCCACCTGGGTTCAAGCGATTCTTCCACCTCAGCCTCCCGAGTAGCTGGGACCACAGGCGCGTGCCACCACACCCGGCTAATTTTTGTATTTTTAGTAGAGATGGGGTTTCACCATGGCCAGGATGGTCTCGATCTCTTGACCTCGTGATCCGCCCGCCTCGGCCTCCCAAAGTGCTAGGATTACAGGCGTGAGCCACCACACCTGACCTGATTTCTAATTTTATATCATTGTGGTCAGAAAAGATACTTGATTGATTTCATTTTTCTTATATTTGTTAAGACTTGTTTTGTGGTCTAACATAATCTACCTGAAGACGATTCTGTGTGTACTTAAAAAGAATGTATATTCTGCGGCTCTTGGATGGAATGTTCTGCATATGTCTGTTACATCCTTTTGGCCTACAGTCTACTATTTATTGATTGATTTTCTGTCTGGATAACCTATCCATTGTTGAAAGTGAAGTACTAAAATTCCCAACTATTACTCTCTTACTGCCTATTTCTCCCTTCAGTTCTCTTAATATTTCCTTTATATGATTAGGTGCTATGATGTTTGATGTGTATATATTTTCAATTATTATATGCTCCTGATGAAGTTGCCCCATCATTATTATTATTATATGATAACCTTCTTTGTCTTCTTTGACTTAAAATCTATTTGGCCTGATATAAGTATAGCCACCTCCACTCTCTTTTGGAAAGAGAAGGCATTACAACTGATACCACAGAAATGCAAAGGATCATAACAGACTATGAACAGTTATATGCCAACAAGTTGAATAGCCTAGAAGAAATTGATAAATTCCTAGAAATGTCCAACCTACCAAAACTCAATCATGAAGAAATAGAAATTTTGAACAGATCCATACTGAGTAAGGAGATTGAGTGAGTTATAAAACCTCCCAAAAAATAAAAGTCCAGGATCTGATGGCCTCACTAATGAATTCTACCAAATATTTAAAGAAGAATTAAAGCCAATCTTTCTCAGAATCTTCCAAAAAATTCATGAGGAAAGAGTATGTCCAAGCTCATTTTTTATCTCTGATCTCAAAGCCAGACAAAGACATGATAAGAAAATAAAATTAGGGATCAATATTCTTGATGAACTTGTATACAAAAATTATCAACAAAATACTAGCAAACTAAATTCAATAGCACATTAAAATAATTATATACCATGATCAAGGGGAATTTATCCCTGGAATGCAAGGATAGTTTGACATACACAATTCAATAAATGTGATATATTATATTAACAGAATGAAGGATAAAAACCACATGATAATTTCAGTGGATGCAGAAAAAGTATTTGATGACAACATTCTTTCATGATAAAAATCTCTCAATAAATTAGATATAGAAAGAATGTACCTCAACATATTAAAGGCTATATATGACAAGTCCACAGCTAACTTAATGAATAAGGAAAAGCTGAAAGCTTTTTCTCTAAGATTAGTAGCAAGACAAGGATGCACTTGTCTAGCATAAGCAAGACAAGCTTACTCTCACTGATTCTATTCAATATAGTATTGGTAGTTCTAGCAGAGAAATTAGGCAAGAAAGAAAAACAAATGTGCTATAATCCTCACCTTTGTTCCTTTGTACACAAGGTGTCTTTTTTCCTCTGGCTGCTTTAAGAGTTTCTCTTTTCTTGTTTATTTGTTTGTTTTGTTTTTGAGACAGAGTCTTCCTCTCTCCCTCTGTTGCCCAGGCTGGAGTGCAGTGGCATGATCTTGGCTCACTGCAACCTCTGCCTCCCAGGCTCAAGCGACTCTCATGCCTCAGGCTCCTGAGTAGCTGGGATTACAGGTGTGCACCACAACACCTGGCTAATTTTTGTATTTGTAGTAGAGATGGGATTTCACCACGTTGACCAGGCTGGTCTTGAACTCCTGGCCTCAAATGATCCACCCACCTTGGCCTCCCAAAGTGCTGGGATTACAGGCATGAGCCACCATGCCTGGCCCAATAATTTCTCTTTACCATTGGTTTTAAGCAATTTGACTATAGCATGCCTTGGTTTTCTTCACCTGTTTACTTTTTATGTTTTAAATTTTAGAGACAGGGTCTTGCTCTGTCATCCAGGCTGGTGCAGAGCTAACTGCAGCCTTGAACTCCTAGGCACAAGTGATCTTCCTGCCTCAATCTCCCAAGTAATTAGAACTACAGGTGGATGCCACCGTGTTGGGCTAATATTTTTATTTTTTGTAGAGATGAGGTCTCACCGTGTTGCCTTAGCTAGTCTTGGATTCCTGGCCTCAAGTGATCCTCCCCACTCAGTCTCCTGAAGTGCTAGGATTACAGGCATGAGCCACCATGCCCGGCCTTCTTTACATTTCTTGTACTTGGGGTTTCATTGAGTGTGTTTTGGATTTATCATGTAAGTTTATATTTTTCTATCAACTCTGAAAAAATTGCGGGTATTATTCTTCAATTATTTTTTCTGTTCTCTCCTCCTTTGGAGACTTCAATTACACATACAGTAGATCACTTGAAAATTGTTCCACAGTTCACTCTCTGCTAATTATTTTTTTATTCCTTTTCCTCCTCTGTGCATTTCATTTTGGATGGTTTCTGTTGCCATGTCTTCAAGTTCACTAAACTTTTCTTCTGCAGCATTAATCCCATCCCAAGTATTTTTCATCTCAGACATGGTAGTTTTCATCTCTTAATTCATATGTGTATATGTATATATAATATCTACCATGTATCTAGATAACATCTTTATCTTCTTGTACACGTGAAGTACAATTATAATTACTATATTTATGTCCTTGGCTAGTAAGAGCTACATTATTTGTGTTATTTTGGAACCAGTTTCTATTTAATTTTTTCTCATGATGGGTCATATTTTCTTGCTGTTTTGCATGACTAGTAATTTTTTTTAGGATATCAGCATTATACATTTTACATTTTTAAGTGTTGGACACTTTTGTATTCTGGGTCCAATTTGCTTCTTTCAGATTTTACTTTCAAGTTTTGACAGGAGTGCCCAGAACATCCAGAGCTCAACTTTTTTCCCACTATTGAGGTAGAATCAATGACCACGAAACTATGAACCCTTCCCTGCTCAGGCTGATCTCCAGGGGTTGCTCCCTGTAATCCTTTCAGGGGCTTCTTTCCTTGGCTGTGGGTAGTTTTGTCTTAAACATATGCTGCTCTGTTCATAGCTGAAGACTTACAGGGACTTCCTGGACGATCTCCAGAGCTCTTCCTCTTTGCAGCTCTTTCTTCTCTGATACTATGTCTTGCAAACTCTAGCCACCTCAGTCTCTCAGACTTCCAGCTGAAATCTTCTCAACCAGGGGAGATGAGCAGGCTCCACCTGGGTTTCCCTCCCTGCACTGAAGCCCAGAAACTATCTTCCAGCTGTACACTTTGGTAATGATAGGCTTCCCTTCATTCATTTCCCAGCTCTCATGGATCACCATATTTTGTTAGCTGATATCCAATGTTTTGAAAATGGTTGTTTTATATATTTTGTGCAGATTTTAAGTTGTATTGACAGAGAGTCTCTGACCCATTATTCCATCTTACCTGGCAGCAGAAGTCTTCAGAAGTAATCAAGTGCCAAAGATTTAGGCTAAGGTTGAATGTGGTTGAAAAAGGAATTACCATATTTTTATTTTAAAGCAGTCATTACTGCAACCTCCACCCTCTGGGTTCAAATTATTCTCCTGCCTCAGCCTCCGAGTAGCTGCTATTACAGGCATACACCACCAAGCCCAGCTACCTTTTTTTAATTTTTAATTTTTTTTTTTCTTTTTAGTAGAGATGGGGTTTCTCCATGTTGACCAGGCTGGTCCTGAACTCCTGACCTCGTGATCCACCCACCTCAGCCTCCCAAAGTGTTGGGATTACAGACATGAGTGAATACGCCCAGGTGGAATATTTTTCAGTGAATTTATGTCATAGTAATAGGTATGTTTCTTAATTAACACATTGCATAAGAAGACCTAATAGTGGGTCTAATAAGTTCTGTAATTTTCAAGTATTAATAAGCATAAACATTATTTTGAGATATGTACAATAAGGTAATGTGAGTTCAATATATCACTACTTCCCATTGGTGGCAATGTCAGGGTACTATTGATTTTACTGTTGTTTGCTGCCAACATACGTTACAGAGGCAATGCTAAATTTTAGTCATCAGAGATTAATAAAAATAAACACGCAATTGCTCTTTCACCCAAGATCAAAGACCCTGAATTCTGTCCACAGACCCCTGAGAAGTCTGTGGATCCAGGATAAGAAACCCTATTAATGAATGGAAACTGGAGTACCTGGGAGTTGTGAGTCTTACACAGTTGGCTAAGCTTGTGAACTGGCAATGATTTTGTTTGAATCTACCTTGCGAATGTGAGGTGCCATAAGGATAGTTTTGGTGCAGAGGGCAGGGGGAATAGCATTTGCAGGACAACTGGGTGTGTCTTTCATGCCAAGATGGGTCTCCCTACTGTGGTTCCCCTACCAAGGACGTTTGCCCCCACTGCTGAGGAGTCCACCTGTCAAATGGCTTCTTGCCCAACTCCCAGCCTGAAGCTCAAGATTCATCACTCAAAACTGACAAATGGGGCAGGTCTGCTGTTTATTTTTGCCTCTGGTCCTTTGGCCAGGCCACACACTGTTGGATTTGTGAATACATAGTTCTGTTCCTAACCAGTGTGTCCCAACCAGAAAGTCACTGTAATTTTTGGTTTTGTTCCCATACTCCCTCCAAATGTCATTAGTCATATCCTCCTTCCCATTTCTGCCTTGAATAGGCAGTCATTATGATGAAGCCAGGCTTGTTTCAGAATTCCATGAGAACCACAGTGTCAGGCTGTGACAACTCTGGGGCTGGAAATGGAAAAGGCTGTGATCTGGGGTTGGCTGGCACTGTCCCCGTGAGTCATTATGGAAACACTGTCCCCGGATGCTGCTGAGAGGACTGGGTTTCTGGTGAGTCCATCTGTCAGATGAGATCCTGACCCCCTGACATCTTAAAACGTTCCATAATTTGTGGAATGTTGGGCCTTCCGTCTGGTATCCTGGCTACATTAAAATTTGGGTTGTTTTATTCTATTTTTGGTTCCCTTGCAGTTTCCAGTGTGTTAAAAAAACAAAATACAATTTTTTTCAGATTACAAAAATAATACATATTCATTGTACAGAAATTGAAAAAGGCAGAAAAACATACAGAAGAAAATTCTACCACCCAGAGATAAGGATTTTTTTAATGTGTTACATTTGCTTTCAGATGCTATTTAGATTATAGTTTATAAAATACTTTTGTAAGCTGTGTGCTTTTTAAATCTCTAACAGTATAGCTCACACAGTCTGCCTTACAGAAAGCATACATTTCCATCATCTTTTTATCTGGAGGAGACCTTATATAAATATAAGACCATCTAGTCTAACACGCTTTTTTTTTTTTTTTGAGACGGAGTTTTCGCTCTTGTTACCCAGGCTGGAGTGCAATGGTACCATCTCGGCTCACCGCAACCTCCACCTCCTGGGTTCAGGCAATTCTCCTGCCTCAGCCTCCCGAGTAGCTGGGATTACAGGCACACGCCACCATGCCCAGCTAATTTTTTTGTATTTTTAGTAGAGACGGGGTTTCACCATGTTGACCAGGATGGTCTCGATCTGTTGACCTCGTGATTCACCCACCTCGGCCTCCCAAAGTGCTGGAATTACAGGCTTGAGCCATCGCGCCCGGCCCTAACACGCTTTTTATAAAAATGAGGAAATTGTGATCCCAAGAAGGTAAGTAACTTGCTTAGGACTCCCCAGCGCATGAACCAGAGTCAGGAATGGGAGTCTGGACCTTTGTCTCAGCATCCTGCTGCCTCATGCCCTGCCCATGTCCTGTCAGTGTTCATCTTCAGACAAGAGCTGAAAGCACTGCAGCCTCTCTGCCTCTTGACCCGGAGGAAATGTGGATGAGTTCCCAGGCTTCCTGAATAGGACGTTTGTCCCCGCCTTAGACCGTGAGTTAGCCTTGAGTTAGGGAACTGTTTAACATCTTTGAAATTTTCATTCCCTAGGGGAAAGCTTAAAATGTGAGGAAAAACAAAAGGCTCTTTCCCATGCAAAAATTATTTTTGATTATCATTTGGAAAAGAAAAGTAGGCATTAGTAACAACTTAATGACTTCACGAATACACCTGCCTTTAAACTTAAGAATGGCTATTTAGTAAAGTTTATAAACTCTACTAAAGTGTGTACACAATAGGATGTGTATTTTGTAATATGTACATTTCCAAGAAATGTGAATTCACCCCAGAAAGTAAGGAGGCTGCGTAGTATGGTACGGTATGGTGTGGTAATGGTATGTTTGACATGACATGGTATGGTATGGTAATGGCATGGTATGATAATAGTATGATATAGCTTGGCATGGTATGGCATGCTATGATAATGGTATGGTATGATATATGGCATGATAATGGTACGCTATGGCATGGCATGTATGATATGGTATGGTAATGGCATGGGATAATAATGGTATGGTATGGCCCGGCATGGTATAGCATGGCATGATATGGTATGGTATGATTATGGTATGGATTGGCATGGTATGATATGGTATGGCTTGGCATGGTATGATATGGTATGGTATGGCGTGGTATGATATGGTATTGTATGATTATGGTATGGTATGACATGGTATACTATGGTATGATATGGCATGGTAAGATATGGTATGATATGGCATGGCATGATATGGTATGGTATGATTATGGTATGGCTTTGCATGGTATGATATGGTATGGCATGCTATGGGATGGTAATGGTATGGTATGATATATGGCATGATAATGGTACGCTATGGCATGGCATGTATGATATGGTATGGTAATGGCATGGGATAATAATGGCATGGTATGGCCCGGCATGGTATAGCATGGCATGATATGGTATGGTATGATTATGGTATGGATTGGCATGGTATGATATGGTATGGCTTGGCATGGTATGATATGGTATGGTATGGCGTGGTATGATATGGTATTGTATGATTATGGTATGATATGGCATGGTAAGATATGGTATGATATGGCATGGCATGATATGGTATGGTATGATTATGGTATGGCTTGGCATGGTATGATATGGTATGGTATGACATGGTATGATATGGTATTGTATGATTATGGTATGATATGGCATGGTATGATATGGTATGATATGGCATGGCATGATATGGTATGGTATGATATGGTATGGCTTGGCATGGTATGATATGGTATGGCATGCTATGGGATGGTAATGTGGTATGGTGTATTGTGTAGTCTGGTGTAAAGTGTGGTGCTACATTGATAGTCTAGCATAGTATAATATAGTAAAATGAATGTACTTCAGATTTACGTGTTCTTGGATTTAAATCCTATCTCAGCACCCATCTAATCTGGCTGTGTAATCTTGGAAACTGAGCCTCTTTGAGCTTTATTTCATTATCTCTAAAATGAAGACAGTAATAGCAGTTAAATTCAAGGACAAAAAATAGGGTCAGAGTTCAAGTGGAACACGGTTGAGTAAACCAACATCTTTCACCTTGTCCTCCAGAGAATAACAGTAGTGACAGTTATCCCAAGATATAGGTACAATAAATAAAACAGGGCATTCCCATGTCCTTCTTAGAAGAAAGTAGAAAAAACATAAGAAATGAATTTATGAATTGGTGATTGTAATATTTCTGAATTACTGATTATAATACTTGCCTATTGCTCATCTGTATCACTGTGCCAAAGAGCTCTGATGAGAAGGAAAGGGATAAGACCTCTCCATAAGTATGGGTGCCAACTCCAAAAGAAGGAAACACTGAGAGGCACACCGCCACCCCAACTGGTGAATATTTCACTCTTTACGATCTTCTCATTCTATTATTTTTAATAAAATAAAAACAAAGTCTATAAAAATTATGAAATCAAATATTTCAGTTAAATTGAAATATTAGTAACATAATAATGTTTCAGAATACACAAGGATACGGACCACAGGATGTCTTAACTTCAAGGACAAAAAAATAGGGTCAGACTTCAAGTAGAACATGGTTGATTGAATCAACATCTTTTACCTTGTCCTCCAGAGAATCCTACAAAAGCACCAAGGAGAATGAAAAATGCCCTATGCACTCCACTTTCAGTGAACTCAAGATAGCTAGATATTATACGCAGACCCTAAAATATGGGCAAGGAATGTCAAAACAGCTGATATTAAGCAAAAACTATAAGAAGAATATAAAGAAAAAGGTTCAGAGAGTAGCTAGGTGGCCCAGGGTGGGGCTGGGGGTAGCAGAGCTGAAAGTGCCGATAAAAATAGGTAAGAGGGTCTACTTGAAGTATAAATGTGCATCGCCTGTTTTCAGTTTAAAAAAAGCAAGAACTATAGTAAGCAAAGCTGGGCAGCACACACATTCTTGGACTTCATAGGGTACAAAAAAGCAGAAAAAGTGGGGTTGCTGAAAGAATCACAAAGATGCTGCATATTTGCAAGAAGCAGTGTGTCTCTGTGATAGAGCAGAGAAGAAAGTCTGTGAGTTGTGAAATGTAGAAGGTTAGACTGTCTTCAGTCTTCCTCTCCATGCCACCTCCCTGCCAGAAACCTCTTGATCCAGGGAAACCCAAGTCATTCAAAGATGAACAATTGTTAAAATGAACTACCACAACACAAATTTAAAGATACTGGGTTGTTTTTTTTTTTTTTTTTTTTTTGTATCTTGCTGGAAAAATCAGCAAGATTTGCCAAGAAATGAAGAATACTTATCAGGAAAATATTGTCATCATGAAAACAACAAAATGTTGCCCAATATGTTGCTATGAAATTTAAAGATTATTGAAGAAATTGCCTCTGGAAGTAAAACTGCAAAGTAAAAATTAAAATTAAAAAATAAAAATATCAGCCGGGTGCGGTGGTCCCCATCTGTAATCCCAGCAGTTTGGGAGACTGAGGTGGGTGGATCACCTGAGGTCAGGAGTTTGAGACCAGACGTGATGAAACCCTGTCTCTACTAAAAATACAAAAAAAAAAAAAAAAAGTTGGTATGGTGGCCGGCGCCTGTAATCCCAGATACTTGGGAGGCTGAGACAGGGGAATCGCTTGAACCTGTGAGGCAGAAGTTGCAGTGAGCTGAGATGGCACCATAGCACTCCAGCCTGGGGCCAAAACTCCATCTCAAAAAAAAAAAATATCAGGGAAGACGTGATAGAATAACAGGAAGAAATAAATCATGTGTATAACTTGGGAAATAAATAGAATAACAGCAAAAGGGCCATAGAATTAAGACAAAATGGACAGGAACATAAAAGAGAAGACACAGTAGTGAGTGACAGAGTAAAAATGAGAACAATGAACACATAAAATGGGCATAAAGAAAGTTTTCCAAAAGATGGAAGAGAAAATGTTAGACGTGGAAGACAAGCAAAAGCTATCCAACACACACAGACAAACTTCAGAAAACCAAGAGATGTTTGAACATAGCATCTACCTAACTATAGTTCTAAGGCTAAAACAGATGTGGGGATTGGCGTGTCAGATCAGAAAATGTGTCTCATAATCTGCTGAGATGTTAGAAACGATACAATTCCAGATTAGAAAAGAGAAGGGAGGAAAAGGCGGAAGGTGGAATATGCTTACTAATCGACTCCTTTGTAGCAGCACAAATGAAAGGATATCACTTAAGGCTGAATATCAAACAAAAGATTTACAGGCATATTAAATTGCACAAAGATAAACATAACAGAGACAACATTGACTAAAATTAGATGATCAATGAGAGGAAAAAGAGGGAAGGAGGAGGAAATATGCTAATTTTATTATTGCCCTTAATAGGGGCCTGATACAATCCAAAATGGAGAACTAAGAGCATTATACGAAGTTATAATTACAAAGGTAAAATCAAACATGCAAACCTGCCTAAATTGCAGAAGAATCTTGCACACAAAGCGAGAGAATAA